TTTTTGTGAGAGCTGATATGAAATACATGCTACATGACATGTTGGTTTGGAAACAGTGAAAACAGTGAAGTCTGTTTCATGAGTTGCACGTGAGGTTGTTCAATTAAAGATGAATGTATTTTAAGCCTGTTTTGTTTTTAATTGCTTTCCAATTTGAAGTTAATCCACTGTTAACTTATGACTTGAACATCCAATTTACTTCTACAATACTGTTCATGACCCTTAAATGTGAACTTTCATATCCAAGCCACTTTGATGCAGTTGTCTAAGCAGTGCAAAGAATATTTTACCTTCATGATGTGCTGTTAGCTAGTAGATTTCAACCTCGAAATTTTGTGAAATAATTTCATTTTTTCCAGCCAATAAATGATTATTCATAACCAAACTAGTCACAACACCATGCTCAGTGGTAAACCTGCGTTATGTTATGTTATTTTAAATTTTCTGTGGTCCCGGAGTCCATCCTCTGTATTTGAGTGGTCATCTTTCTTTGCTCCTGTTGGTTTTGTTGTATTGTGGGTTCATTTGATCTCATCCGAAAAAGTGTTTGTTGATGCTGGCATCAACATTTAAAGATAATATTGCCAGTGAAGCTTGTAACCTTGTAGCATTAATCTATTCCCAGACCCTTTCAGAATGGATTATTATTATAAGCTATAAATTGCAACTTTTTTCACTTGATCAACATGGGTCAAAAATCTGAAATGAATGTATTTCATTTCATTATACTATGCTAGTTGGGGTGCAGGTAAATTATGCGTAGTTCTAAATATGCCCCACTCCAGTAATTATTTTATTTGTGAATGAAGCGTGATCTTGCCAGTCTCCTACCTTCTTTAATTTATTAGTGTTCATTGAAACTCAGTTAAAAAGGGAAAGTATCAAATTTAATTTCTCAATGATCCCTTACTGCTTTAAAGTTCTCCGTTTCATACGTAGTGCCTTCCACCCAAGCATTGTAACTGCCGTAGAAAATCTAAAACACAAATAAATTGAGTAGGATAATCTCTTTAATGATGAATCAAAATTAATATTACTAGTGTACTTGGAACTATCAAAATTTACTTATTTTTGTACTCTTCTCTATCCCTTAGTATTATAGAGCACTCTTGAGATTCTCCTGATCGTTTTTTCATTCCTTTTTTGAACGGTTTGTTCCAATTTTAACCACTAAGTCATTCTTAATCAGTTCTTTTCTCTCTCCTTTTCAATTTATTGGACCTGAGTTTCTACATAGATTTCAGTCAGAAAGATGGACTCCGCTATGCTTGACCTGGGACTATTCCTCCCTTTCCTTTCTTGGTGTTGGTTTTCATTCAATGACTTATTTTCTTTGTGTGAATCAGCTTGCTATACCTGCAAAGGGTTCCCCTCATCCTTGTTATGTCATCAGATATTTAGGTTTTCGTCTCATTGTTTCCTCACATGTAATATATTCATAAAATCTCATAAAATGTGTACATTTTTTTTCCGAGAACTCATAAATAGATCTTGAACCTGTGTCTGAAATATTTCTTTACTCACACTTCTACTTTTAGTGCATTAATTTTGATTTTCTGAGAGTTGAAAGCTCACTTTAAGAAATATTTGGTTTTGGGTAGGTTTTTTTTTATGAGTCTTTGGTCTATATCTTTATACAGAGAAGGTTATGGAGTCACTTACATTAGTGCCTATAGGCTTGTGTATTGAAGCAACAAATGCTCAAATGTAAATTCCCTTACTAATGTGGAGCAAATGGCTATTAACTTTTCCTTTTGTCTGATTGATGATTATGTGGGACCAGAAGAACTTCACCAAGACAAGCCCATAAGAAACATTGACATGATGCTGTAAACCTTTAGTTCATCCTCTTTGTAAATCTTACACTTGCTTAACTTTTTATCTCAGCAGTCATAGAGATTTGTGATTATCTGCTGTTGTCTTTTTTCTTTTTTCAATCTTTTCATAATTTTGAAGCATATTTGGAGAATTATGTATCTCTACTAAAAAGAAAAAAGCAGTTATGTATCTTTTAGGGTATTCCTGTTTAGTTTAAGTTAAATTTATTTTAATCATATTTGAAAGCACAGTTGCCAATGATTGCTTTGTCAGTTACTCTTTTATTGTGTTCAACTGACTCCTAATGCCTCTGAGTTTCATCCTGGATAATTTCTCTCTATAGTAAGGGATTGTTCTCTTGACTTATTACTTTGTTTCATAGATTGTATGTGAAAATTCTTGTGAAGGGATATACTTTGATTTCTTTTCTATTTAGAAGAGTATAGTTTGTGATACAAGAACGTAAAGGTATGAACAAAAATGACCCAGTGCTATTTCAGTTAATACAAACAATACTTTTGTGAGTTTTTTAGCAACTTCATATGTTGTTTTCATTAGTCCTATGTTACATCACTTGGTTTCAGCACTTATATAATGCTTATGAAATATCTTTCTTATTTGGATTGAAAGTGTTGTGAACTGTAGAAACAAATTGCAGTAAGAAGCAAACATTGTTTCTGAAGTGGTAGCGTGGAAAGTAAACCTTTTCTGCCTGTTATGTGTATGAAATGAACATGGTACATGAACAAACTTCAAGAATTTTTCAAAGCCGTTTGTTACCAATACCAGATGTTCCTTCTAGAGTTTTCCATCATACGAGCATGGTTCATTCATTTTCCTAGCTTTTTTGTATCTGTTGCCAATTTTAGTCTGAAACAATGAAGCTTGTGGTGTTAGTAAGTGAATGTTTTATTAATTTTTATTGTTATGAAATGACTTGTTGAGTGAGTAGTAGACTCAGCAGTAAAATCTACCTATTGATGGCACAAATATTTGCTCACAAGTCTCTCAGGGTAGCTATTGTTTTTATGTCCTGTGTGCAATAATACAAATAGTTAACTGTGTAATATACCTGATTTTGTTTTCCAATTTTTAAAATGATTAAACAGCCAAACTACCCTCGGGACTTCATATAATGCTATTTTCCACATTAGCTGCTTGCCATCACATACAGTGTGGTGAGCGATGACTGCTGTATAGTGAGATCTTTACTGGCCAAGAAAATATAGTGATTAACTTTTGGATGGGCCTGTGTTTAGTTAATTGGAAACTTGTCCTGTTTTATTTCAATGACTTGTGAAATTGAATTGATTGAAATAGAACTTGTTTTAAAGAGGATAAACTGTACCATGATATTTATGTGTACATTGACCTCAAAGCTTTTGCATTTTACATCAATCAGGCTTGACGTCTTTAATTTTTCATGTTAATAGAACGTAAAATGCACCAAGTTTTTATGTGGGACAGCCAGAAAAGGAACTATCCCAATTAGGCTTTCTTAATCTAATGTTAGCTGTTCTCCCCCACATATCCTCAGAGCACCAAAATCTTCCGTGCATATAAATATTATAATTATGTAGAATATTGTAAGCTAATTGTAACAATACTGAACATAGAGGGAAGAAATGAACCAGGAGCTTGTATATGTTTGTTTGTACTAAGAGCAAATTGAAGGTGATGTATGGATGGGTGTGTGCTTGTGCGTATGTGCTCAGCCATGTCAAGCTTTCTTTTATACTATGAGCAAAATGTGACTCATATTCGGTTTATTGATCAAAAACTTTGAGTAATGTGACACATCACTCTCCAAAATTTCGTGTAAAATTCAGATGCAGTGTCTAATTTTTAAAAATCTCTTTTGAGGATAGGAGCAATTAGGTATCTTTACATAGGTATCTGTAAGATCTTATGCTTTTCTTTCTCTAGTCCAAATTATGCTGCTGGAGATTGTGCCTGTGATCTTTAAAACTAAATTTTTCAACTTTATTGACACCTGTGATTTTACACGGGATTTTTGAGTACGCTGCTTCCTTTCCTATAAAGAGAACTGTGTAATCATTGTTCACACCTATGATGTATACCTTGATTTAAAGAGATCTATTGATATGCCTTAGGTTATTGTGTGTTTGTGTACAAAGCAGAACAAAACATAAATATGTGAAATCTTATAGCAGAATAGTTTTGGAGCACAAGCTGTTGTGTTCTTTTTCTATCACTTTGTTATTGATGAAACAGTGAGTCTTATCCTTCCCAGTTTTTAATAGTAATCGACTATTTTTGACATCAAAGAGGTATCCTCTGACTATTGTTTTTAAATTAAAATATATTGCCGTTGGCTTCAAGACCTAAAATATATTTTCCAGATGGTAGCTGGACGCTTTGTCACCCAATGACAATGGTTCACATGGGAATCATCAATTTTGTCAAGATGATATTAATCCATTTTTCCCATTTTTTTATACTACTGCTTGAACCCTTCATTTTTACCTCTTTTGTCAAATATTTAAAATTGTGTTGCTGTATATATAATATTAAGCTGCTTTGTTGTGTCATATTTTATTTTTATCCTCTTCTTACACAAGTAAATTATAGACCTGTAATATTTCCAAAACATGAAGTAAATGTTAGATAGCTGTTAGCTGAAAATAAACAGGATTGTGACTTAAACAGAAAAATAATGTCTCTTTTCTAATCACTTTCTGTCCCTTCAAATTTTATTTTAGAGACTTGGGATTGACCCATGGTCAACATCGACCTCATTTCTTTTTCAAAAACTTGTCTGAATCACTATCACCCTATGCTTTTGTTCAAAAAGTATGGTTCAATAAGGGAGCTTGTGGCTTGTGAGGTTTGGGTATGAGTCATGCCAATTCAAAAAGTTCACCTCATTGTATAATTTATTACACTGCTCTTCATTTTCTTTTTGTTTTGTCAACAAATTGATATCACAAATCAAATTTAATTTGAACTTTATAGTTCACTCACCATGACCAATAATGATAGCTCAGACTTGTACATGAACCCTGCTGAAACTGTAATGAATATATGTTCAGGTTTGTATGATTTAGATATGAATAGACCTTCACCTTGGCCTACACTCCCAAGTACTGTTCATAACTTTTTTGTGTGTGAAATTTCTATCTTAATGCTATGTTTTCTTTTTAAATCATATATCACATTTTAAGTTTCCTAGTTTATAAAAATATAATACATTATCCAAGAAGAACTTTCTTCATCATCTGGTGGTCTGGTCTATCCAGTCCTCTTCTTGAAGCATTGAAACCAGCTACACACTTTGATGAACACAGGTACTGCAGTAAGGGTATGCGGTACTTTCCACAAAAGTCAACGAACTTGATGTGCTCTACACGATTGTCGAAGAAGACACCTGCAACCAAGAGCCGCCACACATTAAATGTCTGCAGTAGAGGATGATAGAGAAGTGAACTTGGGAACGCCCCTCTGCTTTCCCCAGCCCCTACTCCACTGTTAGAAAAACCTCCCATCTAATTTTACGGTCCGGCCCGCTATAGTCAGAACCGTATTTAAAATTACGGTCTGGACTGTAAAATACACAAAAGCGGTCGGATCGTTACGCCCCGGGCCCGGGCAGTGCCGGTCGGTAATGCGCATTGAAATGCGCCTACAAAGTAACACATTTTAGGTACATTTAATGTATTGCCGCATTAAACGCGCACTTAATGCGCGTATTGCACACTAAACGCGTAAAAAAGCGTTACTTTTTTGCGCATTGCCGCATTTAATGCGCATTTAAGTGCATTGGCGAGGGGCTGCGTCATTTTCAAATCGATGTGGTTAGAAGGACCGTTTTACATACGTTGCCCTAAAACTGCCCAGGCTGTAATAGATCAGGTCGTAAAAGTAAATACAGTCCGACTGTATTCTTAAACTCAGTCCAAAACTGTAAGATATCAGACGGTAAAAAAAAATACGGTCCAACCGTAAAAATAAATATTGTTCGGCCTGTAAAATAATTTACAATCCGACCGTAAAATAAAGTAAGGACCGTATGTCTAATGTCTACAGTATTTAATTACAGTTTCTTTAACATTGTCACCTTTGCACTTCGGGTTGACACAGTGGTGCGCGCTGGACAGGTAGCGTACGATGGAGTGAGGCAGGTCGGCGGGCGTGTAGGGCACGTTATGCTGCTTGGTAACTCGGGCGGCCAGCTCCAGCAGGCTTGGCGGGTTGTGTGTCATGTCGCTCACAAACCGCACCACAAGTGGATTGTCGCGGAGGCTCAACTGCAACACAAGCCACACAACACGTTGAAGAGGAGTGGGAGTGGGGTCCCAGGCCGGGCTCGGTCTGGGAACCGCAGCTCGGGTTACCGGCTCACTCGGAGCGTCACGCCGCGAGGTCGCTCTGTACTCTATACTGCAGACTGTAGGAGCGCTGTCCCTATAAATCAACAAACCCCAGCCGATCCACTCTAAACCACACAGAACGCCGCCACCACCCCTCTCGGCCCCGCCGCCTGACGAAGGTGGGGTAGGCAGACCCGCCAGACTCGGCTGTGCGGCGGGGCTGCGCGGCTGCGCTCCCAGCGGCGCCTCTCCCCCGGCCGGGCCTACCTCCGGCTCCCATCCGAGCTCCAGCTCAGGCTCCCCCCGCCCCGCCCCCATTTCCCCCTCACAATAATTCACAACTGATGAGGTGCGCGATGCGCTCACTAATGTTGCTTTGTCGCGTGGACTGTTTTATTTTATTTTGTCTGTCGTTACCCACGACTCAAGTTATTGGACACCGAAGCTTACCTCTGTAAGGCACTTGAGGGCGACGATCTCAGGCGGCAGAGTTCGCAGCCGGTTTTTGTGCAGCAACAGAGATTTGAGGTGCTTCAGGTTGGCGATAGCCGCTGGAAGCGACTCGAGCTGGTTGTCGCTCAGCACCAAGACTTGCAGCCAGGCCAGCTGACCAACCGACTCGGGCACCTCGTTGAGGCGGTTACCACCGAGGCTCAGCACCGTCAGCCTGGAACAACAAACAGAGTGGTTAACTCGGTGCCGCGGCGACTCACGAGAGACTCAGCACGATGTTTGGACGGAAGAAACAGCCGGCAGGGGTGATTTGTCTGTCTTTCAAATACTGTATTCTACGTGTTCTTACTTCACCTTGACCCTATCTAAAAGATTGAAAAATAAAACTCAATTTGGATTACTTGGAAAAAAAGTGCCTCCCCTGATATAACTTTTTTTTACATTGGCTATTGGGCGTGACGGATCGGGAGCCTGCTTTGATAAGAGCGGCTCGGCCTTGCGCTCCCCATCAGCGAATCTTGGCCAAAGAAACTCACCCCACCCCCCCACCCCTGTCCAACGGCGGGAAAATCTGCAACTCAGCTGGTGACAATCGCGACGAGCCATATGTGTCGCCGGCCATCACCAACATTTGTCTCAGACTTCCCCTTGTATCCCGAAGTTTTTTGTCCGTTGAAAAAAGGTGTCAACTGGGTCAGAGATGTCGTAGCGCCCACGCCAAACTAGACGAGTAGTGCCCATATTATTCACAGCGATGTAATGTTGTGTTGCATGTTTACCAAGCTGTTCACCGAGCTGCTCACCTACCGGGCATAGGGGCCTTGGCCGGAGGGG